CTGAGCATCCCGACACGCTGATGAGCATGAACAACTTGGCGCTTGTGCTAAACAGCCAGGGCAAGTACGATGAGGCGGAAGCAATGAATAGGCAGGCACTGGCGCGGATGGAGAAGGTGCTGGGGCGTGAGCATCCCAACACGCTGTCGAGCATGTACTGCCTTGCTTACCTGCTTGCGAAGCGACGTTGCTACGACGAATCTCTTGCTCTGTACGATGGAGTATGCGCTGCGTACCACACCGTTCTTGGAGAGGACCATCCAATTACCCGCGCGTGTCGCCGACATCGTTCCGAAACGCTTGCATCGCAAGAGCAGTCTCGGGGGTTTCCCTCTCCAGCAACGCCAGACAACGGCGTACGCATGCACACCGGCAAGATCTCGAGGTTATCACGCGGGCTGGCGAAGCTTAGGATCAGAAACTCCAAACACGATAGGAGATAAGGGAGTAATGTGTGGATGTACCAAAACAATACAACATAAAGCAGACACAAACTTGCGACTGACTATCAACACTTGTCATTATGTGCTATAAAGCAAGCGTGCGTATAGTAACGCGAAACACAATGCAGATGCATGTTCGAGCTTGAGCGAAACCCGTCGTACCGCAACACCAAATCTTGTTCACTGCGTACTGCACCCACCACGTCGTTCACTATTACTTAAAATATGTTAGAAAATTTCACTGAGGGGCGATGCGTACTCTGCAATTCCGCAAACCGAAAATTACACCTAACTAAGCATATCTACTTGCCCACTGATCGATAGCATCCAACATGCACACCCTGCAGATTCATTCAATCAGCTGTAATATAGGTTATTGTTAGGACAAATCAACCAAACCCCTTACAAAGATTTGCTCCCTTGCCTATGTACCTCATATCTTGTTTCTGCAGCGGGGAAAGGTAGGATTTGCCTGCTGGTGACAAGGCTGACCGACGTGAATGGCTTGTTCCGCGCGCCGCACAAGTTTCTTACACAGCTTAGCTGTTTCAAAACAACAGCACCGCCACAGCACAGCTGTCACGTGCCGGCAGCTGCTGACAAGCCACTGTGTGCTGACTACTGTGCGTGAACTGCACAATGCTGGGGCATTCTCAGGAGTTTGGCGTCCTACCTACATCAACCTACCTACATCAAGTCTCAGTGTATTGTTCTATTCCATCCAGTCTTTTAGAGAGCTATTCATAGCTTGGCATGACCCCAGATACCACTCTCGTTACAGAAGTTTGCAGACCTCATTCCCGACATTTGGTCTACGTGGCAGCCACTTGCGGGAAATAATCAGATGAAGAAATCACCGCTCAAACCTGTCGGGATGGAATTATCTTTTTCTGTTTACGGGACTATGACGTTGAAGAGATTCAAAGCACGCACTGTTGATAGTATATAGTAACTAAAGGACATTATAGTTGCTATTACAGAGCTATTTCAAGTATACTCACGCCACCCGTCCTATGGCCAAAGACGGCAATGTTTTGATGCGCAGCAATGCAATATGGGCGATGGTCAGGAGGGAGCCAGATCATGTTCTCCTCTCCACAGGAGATCCAGGTCCCCTTAACACATACCTCAGACGTCTTTTCTGCTGTAGTAGATTGCTCACCGCAGACAAGCAATGTAGGATACGTTCCATGATCAGTGATGAGACAAGACCCGTCGTCAGAAAAGTCGAGTGAAAGAATATAAACTTGAACCTGAAGTGTGCGGAGTTCAGTGCCAGTGCCAGCGTCCCACAGCTTGACTGTGTTGTCCCAAGATGCCGACGCTACTGTCTTGCC